ATTTTCTCTGTTACAAAAAGCCAATCTCTTAAGTTGAAAGGTCTTTTTCCAATGACTATTCAGCAAAATATGCATGAACAGTCCTTACGACTGAGGCTGGGACCTCTCCCTTCTTCTCTACGGAGCTTGTACCAACCACAAGGCTGCAGTTGCGCTCCGTCTGATCCTTCTATTCCCTTTCATTTCCTAAAGTTTCTCAACATTAGCGATGAACAGAGGAGACTTCTTTAAGAATGGTGTCTAGACTGAGTGTCTAAATGGAGCTTGTTCAGAAGCCTGATTCCCTTTCGATCCCATGGTGGGACAGCCAATGCCTGCCACCAGAGATGCACAGAGCGACATAGCATGGACAGAATTCTCAGGCTAGGAATGGCAACTGAGCTAAAGCTTTAGTTATTAATATGGGCATCCTTAACCTTGTGAATGTTCTCAAATTTACTCTACTTTTAGTCAGCTGCAACTCCTGCTCTGACAAAGATGCTTCTTGGTAGCTCAAAACGATGAGATTTGTGGCACATCTCGTATCCCCAACTTAGGGCACAACTCCTTTTAGCATTTTATGCCAAAACTTGTCACTTATTCCACAGCATGTAATACAGAGTTGGATGTAAGTAGCAGATGCTTGAAACCTAGGTGGTGTCATCACTCTCTGTGGCACTCACACACAAGTCTCTTATTAAAGTCACCATAAAATCATATGAAACCATACTGTTTCATAAGTACAAATCTTTAGTTAACAGTGCATTTAGTCGGAAATAAAATTAAAATAAGAATAAATCTCTTTTGACATAAAATAATAAGCAAAAAGAGAAACAACAGAAAACAAATTTATGAAATATTTTCTTCCCTCCTCTTGCAAAGAGACATCTGAATAACGATGACTTTATTTTAACTTTGCTGTGTAATTGTAACCAAGTAACAAGAATATATGCATAATAACTTTGACCTGGATATTTGAATAGTAGATCAGACAGCTACTGAATTACCTGAAAGTATTACCATATGAAGAGCTTGTGCTTCCTAAATGCTGTCACTCAAAAGGCTTTTGGCATCTCTTCAGAGCCCTTTCATTTATTTCCTTTACACAGGAGGTAAACTTAGACGGCTTCATATTTTCGTAGGGAAAATAACACCACCATTCAGATTTTAAAGTTTTCCTTGTACTCAAACAAATCATATAATCAAAATTATACTTGCCTTAGAAAGGAATAACTTGGGTTCATGATTGCCATATGTGCATATAATTTCCTCTATTTTGTTAGCAATTAGCTAAAATTAATTTTATGACAGGTCTGAGGAATTGCAGATGTTATTCAAGTATTTACTAGCATTTTTGTGATTTTATATTAATATTTTCTGACTTAGAATTATTTATTAATTTCTTTCATCTCTTAACATTTTATGTAAACAATCACTACCAAGTCTTCTCAATTCTTATTGGTTAATTAAACTTTCACATGAGCATTTGGGACAATATAGCTAAATAATCACTGTAAAATCTCAAGTAAAATTCAGTAATTAACTTTAACATACTTTTCAATTTAAAAACGCTGGACAGGAAGAATCATTTTGTTTTAGCTGCTATTTGAACAAACAAAATATCTAAAAAGGAATTAAGAATTATAGTATCATTCACAAAAACTTGCTGTTTTATTAAAAAAACCCCAAAAATTTGTGGAAACTTTTTTTTAAATCGAGCTGTCTCTTAATGCCAATCTCAGAACGGAGATCCCAGCTATTTCTTGTATCTTTTTTAATGCCTGCATATTTTAGCCTTAGCTAAGGCTAAACCTGCAGTCTGTATGTATGTCCTATCTCCCTTCACCCAGAAATGTTTTAGCTGGGTGATTGTCAAGTGTTAAGCAAATTGGAGAAAAACAGCAAGTCTTAAAGATAATTAAGACCCTTAGAAGTCTCAAGGATGGAGATCTAAATTAATATCCCCAGGGAGAAGAATGTGGATAGGAGATGGCTGGGCTACTCAGCATTCAGGGAGCTGCAGACTAAGCACAGCTCTATTGTTTCCCAGGCAAAGAGAGCAGGTAATAAGTGGAATAAGGAGATCAGGGTTGCAGTTGAAATTGGTGACCTTAGAGCACAAAGAAAACAGAGCTGACTTTATTAGTTCTACCTCCCCAAAAACATCATATTTTTACTAGTTGGCAGAATATGCCACTTCTCTATGATCCCAGTTTCATCAGAATCCAAAGAGTTTAGATACAAAAAACCCCAAACAAACCAAAACTAAGAAAACCCATAAGGATTGAAAGAAGAATGTGCATTATTTTGCAGCCAAGTCACTTCCTTACAGGAGAGCAACACTCTCTAAGACTCATGACAGTTTATATTTCTGGAAGTTGATGCACTGTGCACATTCAATGGATATTTGAACCTAATTGCACGGAAATGTCTTCATAGAAGTTCAGAGCTACAGGCTTTCCAAGGGTAAACTTGGCTTTAAAAGTTCTGTGTTAGATTTCACACCGAATTTTTTTACCAAACTCCTGATAAATAGTTGAGGTTTTAAGAAAAACCAATAAAATAATCAGAGGTGGACTATGCCCACTCTGAAAAAATATGTTACAACCAAAATGTGTTTAATCCCACTTTGTTCACATAGAGGGAATATTTAAATTGATACAATATTTAATCTATTTATCAATGTATGCCTCTCATTTCTTTAATTAAGGCTCTTTACCCTTTGTAAAATATCAAATTTGAAGAAAATATCAAATATGTGCAAAATGCAATAGAGGCAGTGAATTACTGAATCTAGAACCATCTGTTTGATTACACTGAAGCACATGGTTATATAAAAAAATTAAAATAGGAAAAATAATATTTCAAATTTTTTTGCATACTTGGTCACTTCTTTCTAATGTGGATGTGGTCAAAATTAAAAAAAAGCCACCTTTTTTTTTTTAATAAAACACATATGTTACACACTGATAAATGGTTATGATTATATTTGATTGTTTCAGGTAACATCCTAACTTCCACAAAGATTCTTCACTCTCCTTGTGAGGACAAAGCAATTGCTGTGGTACCTAAAGACCTTATAATCACCTACCTGCTATTAGTATACCAGTTGGTCTTGCAAGATTTTAAAAAATGTCAATTTAAAATAATGAGTTGTGAACTGTATGCCTATACTTGGAATCTGGCATGGAAAGAAGAACAAAATCAGGATCCTTAATTGTTGGACTGTGTATAGTTCTGTCCTGCTCATTTTAAAAGAAAGCAGCTACATATGCAAAATATCATAGTCTGATCAAACAGCAAGTTATTCCATAAAACTACTGTAAATTGATAAAACATCCTCTAAAGATATAAAAAATTAATTGACAGAGAAGTTTAAAATGGAAACACAGTTAAAGGAGGTCTTTCTCAAAAGATGAATGCTCTCTCTTATTGCTTCCTATTTTAAATGGTACGCAGCCTTACCATCATATGTGACCAAACTAAATGTTACCGTGTGTGGGTTTGAGTACCGCAATGTTACTAGACAAAAAGCTGTAGCAAGTGTATTCATGCATTTCTTTTTTTATTTTTTTTTGAAGCTGTTATTATGATGATCCCATCCAAGACTGAAGACCTACTTTGGTTCTAAGAGATTCACACAAATCCGCAAAACAACTCCTGATACTGATTTACCTCCTTTACCTGTACCCAAATGCAAACTCCCAAAAGACTAAGTAGCCACGACTCCATCACATAAGTTGACAGAGAAACAAAGAAAGAACATTGATAGAGCATACACATTTATGGAATTCTACTCACTTCTTCCCCTCTTCTTTCTCTTCATTCTCTGCCTGATTACAAGTCGTCACAGAAATTAGTGACAATTCTAACACAGACTTGAGAAACTTATAAATAGCACAGCTGTTTCACTCTTTAAACACAGAGAGAGATATAATAGGTACACCAGCCTTTCCTTTTCCTGAAAATGTTCCATAGGGCATTATTTTATTAGGCTGATGCCATAGTGCTCCTATTAACATTTCTTTTGAAGATGCTCTAGTCCTTTAAACAGACATACTTCAAGTACCCATATGGTAAAGGAAAAAAACTAACATTACATATCATATAGTCATAAATGATACATCACTTTTGTCTGAATGGGAGATGATTGCAATACATAGTTAATACTGAATGACAGCTAACTGATTTTCCTGTCCATGTCTTCATTTTAATACATGTAACCAACACTTAAATAAATTGTAGCCTTAGATTCTGCACATATATACAACTTCCAAACTGTTCCAAGAAAGGCTAAATATTTTTCTGTCTCTGTTCCTGTATTTTATATTGTTATGTTTTATGATACCGTAAATATTCCTGAGCCATGGGTGACTATTTTAAGACTGAAAATCTCTTAATCTCAAGTGGGGTAAATCTGCTGTGATAGCCTCAAATGACCTGAAAAGTTTTTTCAGTACTAACTATGGAACTTAGCCTTATGGAACTACTAAAATTATGACATCATCCCTGGACTGCCCTGAAGGTATCAGAATTTATGCAGTGCTGTGATTTCACTCTAGGCATACTTCCCAAACCAGAAAGAATTAAAAGGCCTCTAATTATCTTCCTTAATTCCTACACTTGGGAAACTTTCATCTTGACATATTTGGGGTGTTACATTAAATTTATAGCATTCCAGACCTCTTAACCATGAGAAAGTAACAGCAAGAGAGGAAAAAATCTTTTGTGCTCTCAGGAAATACTTCTCTCTGTAAAGTAGTATTTTGAAAGGCTGGTTTCTATAGTTTGAATAGTTAGCACATGAGAGTGTTCTATAAATGCTTATAAGTCTAGATAAATCAGTGATGCTAAATAACTCAAGTTATTATTTAAAGGGAAAATCCACCCTCCCCAAGCAACACCTGCACATGTGGGTTTTTTTTGAAACTTGGGGAAAATGGAAACCCCTCAGGTCAACACAGCTTTTTGAAACAAGTTTCTTTGCATGAAGGAGTTGCTTTCCCCATGTGGTCACTCACCAATATTTATGAGGGAAGGTCACTTGGAATGCCACCAGCAGATGAAAAACAGGAGGAAAGGAGGGGTTTTCTGTCTTCACTGAGCTGGGTGATTCTGCCAAAGTGATAGCCGACATTGACATTACACAAGGGAAAGGTTGGCGTAGTCTCACAGTCCCAGCTCTGCTGCAGAAACAAAACAAAACAAAACCAGTGTATACTTTTCAAATAAGCGTAATGTCAAAACATTAAAAGTCTGATCTCTGGAATATAAATGACACTTTAACCTTGGCTTTGAAATAGCTATCTCAAATCTACTTTAAAAATAAGATTTAAAAAGACCCCTATGGAATAAAATGTTCTTCCATAAAATTAATCAATCACTTTAAGGGCTTAGTGGAAAGAAACGGCCATAAACATCTTATGTGCTCAGCTGGTGGTAGAAGGCAGACAAAAATTATAATTCTGATAAAAATGAGGAAAAGCTGAGATTTGAAGGGAAGACTGCATGCAGAATATATGGCAGGGAATGACAGGAAATTTTACAGGTGAATGTGGCCTACGGAAAACTTCAGGGAAAATTGAAGGAGTAATGAGAGGTCCCCATTATTTTTTTTTATTTATTCCATTTTCTTAGCATCTGGGTGAATTTTTACCTATATATCTTATATGTCCTAAAAGAAAAAACTGTGATGAATAAATAAACAGCTCTAGAAATCTTCAGTAGGGTCCTTTACCTTGCAGGGAATATTATCACTGGCTTTTGATACAATTTCTGCTGCAGGGAAAGACTTTCAAAGCTCAGAATGCTGAAGTATTGCCAGGCACTCAAAGACCCCCTGCTGTGCGCGTCAAACTAAGAAATCTCTCTGAACTTGTCGAATTAAAAGTCATCTCTCTCTCTCTGTAACCCCTGCATGAGCTGGGAAGCTCTGTCCTCATTTTTTCAGGCCTTCCATGATAAACAAATGGAGCCTGAAGCATCTTTATTCTTTTCAGGCACATAATTAAAATTCTTTTAAAAATGTAATTGAAGGCAATGAATTTCAAAAGGAGGTTCTAGTTAACAACAAGGCTAGAACAGTTTCAGCATGCCATACTACTTTACATCCAATTTTCTTTCAAAGGTATAAGCAAAACAGCTTGTTATGATTCTGGGTGTATTTTTTTTCTTTTTTTTTGAAAATTTGTTTGTACATCAATAGTTTGCACCAAACCTAAACATCTCAGCAGGATTTATGCTTTCTGGAATGTCAGAAGACTTAATTACTGAAAAAGCAAAGAGAAGTATGCTATAAAAATAAGAATAAAGCAAAAGTGATTCTTGGTTTCTCAAAATCATTATTTATATATCCCTAAAATTTAATAATATACTTATTGAAGTATTTTTATTTTTTTGGCAACCTTCTTTTATTAAGTAAATATTTGCAACCTTGCAAATTTTTAGAAATCTGATAATGCATAGAATGGTAATGCTCTGTGATGACTATTGCTGTAAAACATTGTAACGACTGGTTACAATACATGTTTGATGTTGCCAACGAAAGAGCAAGTGCTGATATAATTAGTGATCTCAAATGAATATAAAAGGAACAAAAACTATCTCCCTGGATTTGAATCCCAGGGATTATCATACAAAATTAACTTAAAGGAGGCAGGAGACAAGACAGTGTTTCAGAAAGTCATTTCTAAGGTGACTTCCTAGAGAGCTTAAAATCTAAACCGATTTTACTTTTTTAATATCTCTTTTAGAGTGATTTTCAGTACCTCTCTTTGTTGCAAGGGAAAAGATTCAGTTTTTACCTGTTTCATCCATGGTGTGTTTTTAAAACTGGTACTTCTTGCTATAAATGACCATATGAAATGTATTTTTTTAGAGTTTTCCCTAGAGAAACTAGAGATGGAGATGTTTTAAGGAACATTATTTACAGTTCTTGTAGCATTAAAAAAAAAGCCAAAAAAGGTGTAGCAAGGAAGCACTACTCCCACAACTTCGGGGTAGTACTCTGCCTCTGATAGCTATGATGCCTCTGGGAGACATGAGACAATACAGCAAACAAAGCTGCTTTTCATCCTTGGAGGGGGAAGCACAGTGTGTGTTCTGCATGGGTCAACAGCTGCTCTGACTAGTAGAGAGGTAGAAAAGGGACCCAGTCAGCTCAATTGGAAAAGGCAATGACAAAGCAGATCTAGCAGGAGCAAACTAGAGGTTTGACTACACCTTCAAGTAATACCTCTTCAAGTCAAATATTATTTCTTTCCTAGTTTTTTTTTTGTTTTCTTTTTGTTTTATGCAAAACCTGGGTGCAGTGTAGGCACAGCCCATTCCAGAGGTCGCGCTGAACAGGCAACACAGAGAACAGTGGACCAAGGTTGACCCTCTCCTTTTTCTGCAGTTGTCTCACATTACATCAGCAGGTTGGAAACACTCCCATTCCCACATGCCTTCATTTCTCACCCAGAACATGTAACATACACAGAGCCCACCCATTATGCCCCAATCTGGAAACAAATTAATAACAAATAATGGTCATATCTTAGATCCAGTAAGACCATACTGGCACAAGAGCAGCATGACCAAAGGCTATTCACTAATTTCTACCAGTGCATTGTTTACATGGCTGCAGTCTTATAATTACAAACAATCAAAAAAATAAAAAAATAAGGCAGTCCCTACTATGTCTTGTCCCTACTACATATTCTTGTTACAAAAAACCGAACTCTTCTTAGCTTTCTCTTTGGAAAACTAGGGAGATTTATGACAGTGTATTTATCGTGTTTAATTTTACAGAGTATCTTAATTGCCATGCAATCGACAGAAAGCATAAGAGTAATCATCAAGAAAGATGCATGAACAAAAATCATAAAATAAAAAAATGTAGGCAAATTAGTATTTTCAAACTTCATTTCTGCTGTAAAACTGAATTAATGAAAGCACTGTGATTACAAAAAGGAACTCATTTTCCATCACAATTTTTTCTGTTGAATGCAAAGGACAAAACAACAAAAGAAACAAAAACTGCAACAAAGAGACAGTATCTGATATATAAGAAAAAAAAAAACAGTGTGATCCAGCATGAGTATTAAATGTCTGTTTGCAGAATGAGTAAAGGCTCCTTTAAGTTCACTGAGCACTCACTGTGAAGTTTAGGGAAGATCAGTAGCTTAGAAAAAAGTGGCTACTGAAATATGAGTCACATTTACGAACAAAAGTGATCAAAGTCCACTTGGTTGCTAGAGTGTCTTCAGTTTATTCCATTGCAGTACACATATTGCTTGATTGAAAGGTCTGTGAATATAAGGCACCCAGGTCTATCCACTGTCACAGTGCCTGAAACTGTCATTTGTTTTGTCTGACTTCCTTTAGTGATTTCTTTTTCCTAAACAGAAAGAAACTGAAATAATTTTATAGCACTTGGGAACACAAATGTTTACAATATTTACAACACAGTAAATTTAAAATACTAAATACATTCACATTAATTCCTTTTCTCCTCCAAGCTAAAATTATTTTAAAAGCTGTGATAGAATAAAAATTATTCAAACTTTGTTAACAGTCATACACTGCTACTATGACAGTGATGTTATACAGACATATCTTACATATCTTGAAGATTTTGGACACCTTTTTCAGTGGAGGAAACAAATTGCTTTTTACATCATTGCCAAATAAGAGGTTAATGCAAGTAATTTATTTATTCAAAAGACACTTGTTGCTTATGAACATCTACCTCTTATATGTTATAAAACTAATATCTAACTTGGGCAGAAAATTATGATACCTACAGTAAAGCTCTCCAAGATACAGTTTTGATCCAGTAGCTCAGTGCTGTGTAGAAAAAACTGTTGGCAGATGTTGCACTGATAATTTGGTATGAGGTAGTGCTACATCAGAAGAGGGAGTAAGTGAATGTAAACCTAATTAAGACTTCAACAAGAAGAGCAAGACAGAGTATTTCAGCTATTCTCTCTCTTCTGCAAAGCAGCCTGATGCCCATATCCTAACACAATTTTCCAAATTTTGTAAAAAGTTATCGTACATCAGAATTTAAAGCTTTTGGAGACTGAAATGCTCTTCTGTTTTATTCCTGTGTCTTGATTCTTTAGATTAATACAGATATGTGGCTTCTTGACTGTACTGTTCAATCATATATTCTGTAATTACAACAAAACACCTTTATATGATAAATATAAAGCAGTGATTAATACAAAGCAGCGAGGAATTCTTCAGTGAAATTTGCTATCAAATGACAAGCTGTATAGATTTAAATAAACGTGTTAAAAATAAAAGCATAACCTTATAAACATGTTCACTCTCCTACATCAATACTGATTTTAGTGTTCTAGATAAGGCAGTAACCCCAGGAAAAAAAATCAAGAAGCATTTTCCTTTGCTTTTTCTATCCCTCTTGGATATGGGCAATATGACTGCCTCCACAAAAATCCTAAACATTAGAAATTATCTGAAGTACTTGAAAATTGAAATTAGCATTTATTTGCATGATGTATGAGTAGATGCTAATGAGGAGAATAGGTAAGCAATAAAACAGACCCTAAATTAATTACTTTGCACCTAATCCAGCTACTAGGTTCCAGGTCTTACAAATAAGTTTAGAGTAGGAAAGAAAAAAAGTTACTTATTTTCTGACAATCCTGTTTGTATATGAAACTGCAGTATTGAAAGTAACTATTAATCATATGAAAGAAAACTCTGAGTGAAATCTTTCTGATGACTTTATAGAGGACCTATTAAGCAAGCATTTCTACAGAAGGAGGTGCAAATTACATAGTACAGAAAGTCTGGTGGTCTTGCTGCCACAAGAGTAAAGACAAAACTGATAACAATTTGCAGAAAAACTTAAGTCTGTGTCAATGTAACTCAATCCTTCCATATCTTGATGTATTTAATGCTTTCTTTGGGTTGAATTCCTCTTATGAATAATCCTTCCCTATCAGTTGTATAGGGACCCATAATTCCTGCTGCTGTACTCTACCTAAGAGCCTGAGAATGAGGTAAGAATGGACTAATTCCATTTTACCTGCAGAAATTTCAAGTCTTTCAAAAAGGTCAGATTAACACAGTTATAAGTCTGACTCATAGTAGCTGAAATCTACACCATTTATATAAATGTTCTTTAAATGTTAAAAGTCAAGAGTAAAAGATTCCTACACATTGAATATTTACA